GACTCAAATGCTCGCGAGGTTTCCGCAAATTCAAGCCATTTAAAGCAGTTCTAAAGCTCCACCTCACTTCCAAATATTTACATGTAGTAGTGAACGATGGTGAAAGATTGAAATTACATAAAGTAAAAAAACTGATCGACAGACACCGATTTTATTGTTATCAAATAACAATTGGAAAGCTCATCGGTTATTTTGACATCATTGGCAAAGTCAACAATCTTACTAAATGCATTTTAATAAATGCAAAATATATGGCGAATCCGGGGATATTGTGAATTTATTTTTAATTTATAATTTTTTTATTTCCTATCTATTATTAGTAGAGATAGGAGGCGTAGGCATTCTTCTTTTTCCCCTTCTTCACTTAATAAACACAATCAAAAAAGTTTCTTTTTTTCTTTTTTATTTCATTTTAATAATCATGTACAATATACACAATTCGGTTGCATTAAAATTGGGTGGTTGTTTCAGTTGTTCATCGTAAAGTGCAGATCCCATATACTGATTGTAATCATTAACATAGGGTGCACGGGCACATTGATGACCGCATGCATTGTTATTTTTACCTGTACTCGTTATCTATTAAACAGATATTTAATCCAAATGAACTAAATTAATTGAATGATCCAAATGAATTAAATCTAATATCAAACGGTGATTTTTAAAAACAAAATTATCGCAATCACAAAAGTCTTCATTCCCTTATCTATTGTAGCCGTTACATCTGTACAGCGTATAAGGTGATCTATATTAAAGCCATGAGAAAGCGTTGCTACAGTGTTCTATTCATGTAGACATTCGCCAGCCTAAAGTTAAGAAGTAGGAAAACGTGTGTCATAAATTGAAAAGTATAGTCTTTTAATAATTTTAATAATTACGACAGATTTGATGAAAAAAGAAGGTGTAAATTTTTTCCAGGGGCCTATCTTCCACAGAATACTTGCATTCAAAATAAAGGCAAGAGAGAGGTATGAAAAAGTTTTTCACAGAACACAGAACCAGTATTTCATTTTCTAAGTAGGTGGGGGAACAAGGACTAATATGTTTTCCTCGTTTCACAAGAAAACAGTAGACGAGTACGGTCTTTTTATAATACGTTGTGCGTAGATATCGACAAGCAAAATAGTTTTATTATTATTATTATTATTATTATTATTATTATTATTATTATTATTATATCCTCGGCATGTAGGCCTATATTAACTAATTGGCTCATTTAATTGGATTGCTGTGTTCAGACCGACCCAACTCTGACAACAGCATCAGAAAGCCATCAGCCGAGCTTATATAGCCGTTTTATAACCATTTCCAAAACGCGTTTTTTTAATCTGGTTAAAAGTTAAAATCTGTTGATCAATATTCCGAAAGATGAATGCCTTTATTACTGAACATTTTATTTTACATTTTCTATTTATTATTACATTTTCTGAATTGCAGTCTCGAAAAGACAATTACCAGTTCTTCACTTCTTGGTTATCAAAGCAAAACTCTTTAAAAACAACATTATCATGAAACACATATTGCATATATTTCAATATGGTATATACTTATATATACTTCTCATTTAAATCAAAAGTAAATTACGTACTACAAGTTTATTAAAATTATTTTTGGAAGTTAATAAAAGCAAGAGAGAGAGATGCATAACATATATTCATTTCAGTTGCAATTCAGCATGTCTCACGGTGTTTAACCTATCCTCTTCTAAAGTAAGTCATTTGCTCTTAGATCTTAGTTCGGGCTTATTTGTCGTGAAAATTCACCTATGGAAGTCGTGTTGGGCGATTTTAAAGCGAATCAGTTGAGCTGTAGCTCCTCATGGCACGCTTATGAAATGATATTGGAACGGAATTCAATCTCTTGTCATTCTCTGTATTATGAAAGGAACTTTGTATTTTTGTAACGATGGTCCGCAACAACATTGCGATAGCTCTGTATCCGCGCGCAAACATACATTTCACTTCGTCGCGGTACGGTTTAGCACTGATGCAGTACAGAAAAAAATTCGACGCATGATTCAAGTAAAAGAGAAGCATAACGATTGTATAGATGGTAGAATTTCTAACCAGTTCATCGGGAGTGCAAGCGTGGTACACGTCAATTATTCCCGCTTGCATAAAGTTAAACCCTGTTGTCATAACCCAATACGAAAGAGTCACGAGTATTAACATTTTCGTAATTTCTTTATCACTGTCCGCGTCGCATCCCGAGCATTCAACAGATAAGTCTGGAATAGGAATAATCGGCCTGCATTCTTGATTGCTACGTCGTCGTCGTTCCTTCCATATTTCGTACAGTAACCATCCGTTGATGACAGGCAACCCGACAAATGGCAAGATCCAGTAAACTGTCAGAGCCACCCATCTGTACGCATTGTAGAAGGCAAGTGCACTCACATTGCCTGAAAATGACATCGGTGATCATGTAACAATTGATATTTTATTATCGTGCAATCATATATATATGTGTGACAAACTATAAGGAAACCTTGACCGCACGCTCTTCTGGCACAGTTCACAGTACGTAACATTACAATGGATGGAGGCGATCCTTTCATGATGGCTTATAAATTAACGCTCTCCTCTACAAAAAATTCATGTTGATTAAGAACGGAAGTTCAACTAAACATGAAAATTGGAATCTACATTTTTAAGGGTAATTGGAATATGTGGCATTATGCAATCAATTTAACAGATTTTCAAGCCTCCTTCTGGCCTTAAATAGAATACAGAGAAGCTTGTGACTATACTTACTACAGTCGCTGCCATTTCCATTTTTGCAGTTTTCCTCGTGGAGTTGTAATACACCTGTGCCCTCATGATATATATTCCAACAAACATTTTTGCAACATTCTTTAAAGAATATGTCGGAGAAAAAGATGTAGAGGTTCAGGAGAACCATAGTCAAAACAATAGCCACAATGTACATACGGGTTCTTCTTATAGAGAACCACCTTTCGTGAGCTGAAGTGTTCAAGTTTCTCATTAGTCTCTCGGCGCTCATGACGGTCAGCGTGATCGCGCTGATTTCTGGTGCACAGTAGATTGTAAACACGGAGGTCTTACACAGAGCGAAATGTCTTGTTATCACTGGTACGAGGAGCTCGTATTCAATCCAGTATAAAATTCCGTTCAATATAGTAATAATGTCAAACACTGCTATAGCAATCATGAACTGACAGGTCGCAACTTGGCGTAGCGTCTTTAAGGAAAAAACACAAATGGACAAGATATTACAAATCAGTCCAATACAATAAATGAGCGGCCGACCGACGAAAAGCACATAGTCTGAGATGGCGGCATCGGTTCTATTTAAGTAGTGTGTACGAATCCTAGCACTTGTAGCAGATGCATTTGTCCAATAATACACACATTTAAGATAATCTTCTGGTTTGGGGGTGCAATTCCCCCAGTCAGGGTCGGGTAATGCTTTATCACGAGGCAACGTGCAATACGTCACATCATTCGTCTCTTCCCAGTAAACAGCTGATTCAACATTCCCGTGATATGATATGCACAGTAAAAGTGTTATCGTTATCAGCCATTGTTTTCTTATCGACGTCCAAAATACTGTTATCATCTTTTTGGAAATTATAAAGGCTCACGTACCTAAATGCTAAAATAAATTTGTTGACGTTTATATGATATAACCAATTTTAAATGAATTTGAAGCATCGCTTCAGTGTTTGTGGTTAAATTGAATAAAAAGTTTCATTTCAAAATTTAAAAAGCGTACAGGTTTTGTTTTGTGGGTGGTCATGCGCATTCGTTCAAAGTTAAATTCAATTAAATTTTATATCGGAAAAGTAAAATAATGAAAAGCATAACACTGAAAACGTTTTCAATCGTCTTACCGGTGAAATTGGCCTGACGAAATATGTAAATCCTCACGGAACGGTGTTATAATGTGAGTGATAGCCAGGGAGTCGCTCGCAGTCGAAGACGTAATATTTTTAATCTCTCAGGGTCGGTCTCTCAGGGTCGAATTCAGAATGATAGATTGATTAGTTGCGGTTCATTATATAGCTACACGTGATCTGTACGTGTGTTCATCTCATGTCCTCCCAGTATCAAGTCACGTACAGCTTCATTTGTTTATCATAGCGACCGAGGATATAAATTATGAATGACTTTATCTGTTTACGTGATGCCACACCCTCATCATAAACGCTACATCTGTAGCTGTTGATAAAGCATAATCAGCGACAGTGCATAGGCTAAAACAATCACGTCAACAGAGATTAATTTTAAAGTGAAAGACTGTCTCAACTGCACTCGAGGTTTCTGAAAATTCGAGCGTATTTAAAGTGGATTTATTTATAATTTATGACTTTTTTATTTCATTATCAAAACAGAAATGGGAGGCATATCATTCTTTTTCTTATTCTTCACTTCTGGTTTTAACTAACCTTATCTATAGAAAAAGCAAAGATTTTTCAAATTCAAAGTAAATGGATATCAAACGGTGAGTGTTTTCTTTAATAAACACAAGCAAAATAATTTCTTGTTTCTCTCTCTTTTTTTTTTTTTTTTTTTTTCGCTTGCATTTTAATATTAAAATATTGAGTGGCTGTTTCAGAGTAAGGGATAGATTATCTATATTTATTGTAACCATTAACACTTAAATAAAGCTTTGCCGCAGCTTTCATTTTGTATAGCAATTCGCCTGCCTTACCTAAGAAACAGTTTAATCGAGCGTGAAAATAGATGAAGAAGACCTATCGATCGTCCCTGCAAATTTAAACAATTATGACAGGTTTGATGAAAAAAAAGAAAAAAGGTCTATTTTCTTGGGCCCATCTCCCACTGCATACTAGCACCAATTGCTCTATGCTGAAGCAAGAAGGTTAAGAGTAGTTTTCAGACTACACAGAACCAGAATTAATGTATCTAAAAGGGGTGGCGAGGGGGGGGGGGATGCTGTAGTTGAGACCAAAGTAGACCTTGACCTTGAAATCTCGTGTCACATCTTGCGCACAACTATGCGCAGTGTACCCAAAATCGACCAACATGGAGGAAAAGTAGGCAGTTCCTCCCCGCTGTAAAGAAATTTATCGTGATACTAAGAAGCTCAAGCGAACAAACTGATATTGAAAGCAGGAAAACCCATGTTGTATGTACTTAGACACTAAAGATGGCCCAGTGCAAGCAGACGGCTGAGGAATTCATCACCAATGCCTTCAGTCCGATGGTGGCTGTACTGTGCAGCGCTGATGCTGAGAAATTGTGCCAGAAAAATAATCTTTCCTTCGTTCAGTTAATTCAGCCTTTTTGCAGATTGAGCACAGAAGGTATGGCATTAAAATAAACACCCACTTGAAGCCCTACCACCATTTGTATTTTGCATAGTGTCTCCATAGATTTGTGCAAATTGGACCCCATGATCCCCATGAAATTTGTTTTGATTTTGTAGTCTACTTGGATCATTAACAGTAAAGAATTTTTTTAAATGATATTAGGTATCAGCTTAAAATATTTAGATGTAGATCTGAAGTCCTTCATATCTAATAATGTCATTCATTTTGAGTATAATCCACTTACAGAAAAACCTATTTAGTTAATAATTTAATAACTTACAAAAAAGAAGAATGTGATATGTCCTCACTTTTGAATCTTGGATATTCTTAAAAGAAAACAAAATAAGGGTTCGTAATTTTGAAAGTGAAGAAAACATTTGACCAAATTAGTACTTGTTTTGTTCATCACTTCAGCTCATATCCGTGACCCCGGTGGCATTCCCCATGTTGTGAAGAGCCTCCGTATCATTGTTAAGGACATGCAGCAGTCTCTGTACCAGCCCACCATGGCAAAGAGGCTCATGAACGAGACGGTGTCCGGAGCCTGCCCAAGTAATATGGACAACACCAAGGGGACAGTGCTTACTGTGGGGGACTATGATCTCCAGATTAGCTGTAAGTTTTATCTGACTGAATAGATGAAGATAGTACATGATCTATCTGTTTTAAGTGATGGCAGCGGGAATGTTTTATATGGTATATTTTATTTGTATTAAATCAGAATTGTGCTGTTTTTTCATGTTTCATGTGTCACATTTTATGTTGATGGTATCATAGTATTCAATGAACTACTGTTTAAAATAAGTGGTCGTATAGTGTAACAATGATTTGAAAGATCCAAATTAAGTTCTAAAAAGACATGTTATTCAGGCATAAGCTATAATGTAAAACCTAACAAGGTAGAAAATCCTGTAATGTATACTATATTAATTGCCTTCTCTTCAAAGCCACCACCCCATGGTTTGAGGTGTATCGGGATTGTTTCCTAGAAGTGGCCTATCCATCAGACCATGAGTTCCTCAAGCACTTCCTGTCTTGTATCCTTGAACAGATTGAACCATATTCTAGGGTTATGATTTCAGAAATGGAGATCCTGTTTTTTATTTGCTCAGAGTGATTATTTTCATGACCATATAAAAAAGGACTGACTGCACTGAGAATATAATACAAAATGTAAAGAAATTTTGAAAGATCATCTCATTATTATTTATTTATTTTTGTCAGTAAGTGGATTTATTGAGTGGATGACTGTCTATTCGTCTTTAACTGTAACCAATTATTTCATTTTAATGACTAGACACAGTTATATTTGATTTACTTCTAGTTATTATGTTGGGTCAAAATAGAAATTTGAAAACCAGAAATTTGAAGCACCGTTCCTACTTTTAGAAATAGTAAGAATAAAGTTACTTTTTCTTCAATCAACAGCTGATTATTAAAATAGTTAACCTCCCATATTTCGATGTCTAATGTAGCATCTTCATTAGGGAATGAGGCCATCCAGGTTCTCTGACTTATTGACAGTAGTTATTTTCCTGAACTGTTCCCCCAGGTATGTTCATCGTCTCCTCCTCCAACCCGGACCCCATGGACCAGTTTGCCAAGCTGTCACAACAACAGCATCAGCAGCAGCACCAGTCACCAACCAAGCCACCCAAGTGGTTCTCACCTAACACATTCAAGTACTTTGTCTTGGTGCATGATGTGGCTGAAGGAGAGGAATCCAAGTAAGTACGAACAGGGGAAGATTGTACACTGAACTAGTAGCCTGTGTTGGTGCTTTTTTTTCGTTGATGCAAGGGTTTTAACTGGCCAACTCAACGCATATGCTGTAGTCTTTCTTTCAGCATAAAATGATTTATTAACTTTTTTATCCTGGGCCAAAAAAAAAAAAAGATAGTCTAAGATTAACAATATCTGTAACCATAACAATAATATAGAAATTCAAATTATAAAAAGAAAAAAGTTTTACGTCCTGACTTATAGAATATGAACTCTTCCCCAGCCTAAAGAGTACTCGCAGCAACACCTTGGGTCTGTTCTAGCAGTTTATTAGATGCAAGAAAGTGGACTAAGTTGTGCCTTTCTAATATGGCCCAGACCTATCAAGGAATGGCCTATTAATAATCATATGTCTGCACTCTGACAAAGTGGAACTTTGAAAATGCTGGAGATTACTGCTGGCAAATATTTCAGCTTTTGATATCAATTTTACTATTTGTTTTGTTTTAACTACATATATTTTTTTAAAAAGTTAAATTATGATAACTTGCTTTCAAAATCTGTAGGGGTAAGGTTAAGTCTCAATATGAACTCTAGGGTACATAGGTAACATGAATAAATCTGGCCGTATATTCCAGAAATGTCCACAGCCCAAGGATGGTGCAGTGAGTATGACCCTTATGTAACATGTCACTGCCACAACTTGCTTTCTGTGTAGCAAGAATTCTCATTTTTCATATGTCACTCAACTAAATCATATACCAATATGCACTTGCCTTGAATGATACTGTTTTAAAAAAAGACCTAATGAAATCAGTTCCTTTTTTGCTGTTTTGTGTTTTGCTTTTAGTTTGATAGCTGTTTGAACTAAACTAAACTAAACTAAATCTCTCAGTTTGAGTAACTGAAGCTTTGATTTGCAGTTAGAGAAAGCTAACCTTTTATGAAAAATCTCAATCGATTCACTTTGTCATTGACTTCTTTTTCAAAATGCAATTGTGTATATGTTGAGACATTCTGAAAGTAGTGCTAGGCAAATCCATGCTTTGTATAAGAACAAAAAAGCATTGCTTATGCAGTAAAGTAAATCTAAAACTTATATTTTATGGAACTCTATTGCATACACAGTCATTAAACTTTTAACTCAGTAAAATGTTTTATTTCTAAAAAAATTTCACATTTTCCCAATCATTCACTTGTATTCAAATGTGTAGAATTGCCCTTTCAAAGTAATGTCTTATATATTTATAATTTATTTGTTTATCCATCTAATTAAATTTTAATTATTTATCTATTTATTTATTTTGCAATAAATAGTGATATAGTTTTCTATGTATTGAATATATCAATATAAGCAGGTGAAGGCAGATGATCCTGTAGAATATGTAATTTACCTGGGAAGTCTTCTCTCTAGTGGCTGTGCTATC